GGGGGGGGGGGGGGGGGGGGGGTACTCATAGTCGTGCATGCCGTAGTCGTTAGACCATTGACCTCGCATCCCTACAAAGCCGGGACGGAGCACGCCGGGTTCTCACCGGACCAGGCTCTCACATCACCAAGCGCGAAGCGGCGTGAGGTATTTGGCGAGTCGCATGACGGGTGAGCTGCATCCTGCTAAGGGTGTTCGGCATCTTGCGCTTACTTCCTTGCGTACGGATGACAGCTGCGTATGACTTACTTTATTTTCTGGTGCTTTCACTTCCATGGACAGGCAGTTGTAAGCGGTGTGTAACTGCCTCGAGGGTGCTTGACCATTTTAATACAACGTGGTGCGATCATCCCCCTTGCGCGGAGTGAGGGTTCTCGGCCCCACACAACATGATCTACTCGACCACCATTATGGTTACCGCAAAGAAAAAAAAACAGCGGTAGAAAAAAAAGCGGTAACCTGCTTGCCGAGTTCACGAAGTGAATTCGCTTGTTTTACAACGTCGCTGCCAAGCGACGAAAACCCGACCCCGATGGCAAACACCAACGGGGGGGGGGGGGGGGGGAGCCCAAATTTTTTGCGTCCATTCCCGTGGGCCGTTTAATGGGGGGGTGTTTTTTGCGACCGTGACTTAAAGCGCGTTCGATTCGTCCAAGTGCTCCCACTGAAAAAGCAGCAGCAGCAGCAGAGAAGTGGGCGGGAGGGACGCGACGTGCATATCCCTCCTCGTCGTCAGCAATCAGACCACAGAGAAAGAGAAATCAAATACGCATACAAATAATTACAGAGAGAGAAAGAGATATTCACACAGAGGTTAGGGATAGGGACGGTCTATTGGGTGCTGCAGATGACGCCTAAACAAAAAAAAAAAAGATGTCGGCCAAGAAAAAAAAAACAAAAACACACACACACACGCACACACAAATGCGCGCGCACCTGGTATTACCGGCGGTGTCCGCTGCTGTCGCAAGGATGCATCACCAGCACCAGCACCACCATCCCTACCATCGAAATCGCCATCAAGCACCCCCCCCTCCCGCCCCGCCAACGCCGCCACCTCTTCCCCGCTGTCCGAAGCAGTGTTCACTGCCATCGTTGCTGGTGGTTCGTTTTCCGCCGCCTCCAAAAACTTGGCGCTAGCCTCACTGTCCCCCGACTGCGACGCCGCGCTGGCCACGGCTCGGTAGCAAGCCTTCTCCGGCCGGTAATCCTGTTTTTCCAAGGTTGTGAATGTAGGTTGGGGTACACATTTAGGCTTGGTGCTCGGTAGGCGACTTTTATACTTTGAGATTTAGATACACTGACTTTTCTTCCAACTGACTTTTTATGCTGCAAAACAAATCGTGAAAAAATCGACGCTGCTGCGGTAGCGCACAAAATAAGTCGTCTTTTGTCAGCACAAAAAAAAGGCAAAAATAAACGCCTACACGAAACCGTCCGTTGATGCTAAGCACGCCTGACAACCCCGCTTCAAGACACACACACTCACCACTGCTATCTGTTCCTCCAAAACCCCCGCCGCCTCCCCCGCTCTGCCGTGCTCGCAAAGCGCACCGACTACGAAGGCAAACGTGGCTGGCTGCAGCCTGGAGAGCGCGTCGTGCCCTCGCAGAATCTGCCCAAAGCAAGGAGAGAGAGAGGGAGAGAGCGGGCGAAAGAGAGAGAGAGAGAGAGAGAGAGAGAGAGAGAGAGAGAGAGAGAGTAAGACCATCACACGCTGGCGCGAAAAATTGTGTTGGAGAAGCTGAGACACAATCATGCTATGGCTGCCTTTGTTGGTGGTGCTGGTCGCTGGTGTTGCTGCTGCTACCAGCTGCTGGTGGCTGCGTCCACTTTCGAGGCTTCCCTCCCTTGAAAAGAGTCCGCTTCGGAAGGCTGCAACCTCACAGCAGTGTAACCGCATTCCCGTCCTTCCAGGCATGCCACGGAAATATGGCATTTTCTTCACGTGCAAATACTTGCCAATCGATAAACGCTCCTGTCAGGCATGGGCATCAAAATCGTCCCTCAACATAATCCCAATCGATCCCCATGCTTGCTTGGGAGAGGATGGATGGCGGCGGAATCTACCAGAACTATAAACGTATTCTTGTGTTCACGTGGGATGCATTGATACTTGGGGAACACAACCACGACAACAACACACCAGCGTCACCACCAACAATACAACGACAATAAACGTAAACAATAACACACTCACCCTGTAAAACTCTAGCCCTACATCCGTGCCACCGTGCTGCTGGCAGCACAGCAGCAGCTCGTTGAAGTTCTTGTGGTTTATTCGCGTGGTCTTGGTTGGTCTCCACTCCTGAACAACGGGAGGCAAAAAGACAAGCCGTACCACACGGAACCCGAGGGAAAACGTGCAAACATTGGCGTGGCGAACAAATAACACGAAAGAGAAAAAACAACGTCAGAAGAAGCCGGGGCAAGACATCGTAATGAGGTCGAGAGCAGCAGCAGACACATCATCACATCTTGGACGCAGGGCATAAAAAACGGACACATCACACCCATAGACCGAGGAAAGACGTGAATAAGGGCGAGGCAGGAAACAACCGCATAATAGGAATGTCAGACAAAGAAGGCAGCTACAGTGGTCGTGATCCAAGACACGATTAAGAAAGCCGAACATTTGCGAAAAAATAACCACGCGATCGCGAAACGAAAAAACAGCGAGAAACCAAACAGAGGCGATGGTAAAAATGCAAGGCAAGCACTGCAGGAGGGGTGGGTATGGCGGGGGGAACCCTTCCGTGTGACTGACTGACCACGGATTGGAGCCAGCTCCTACACGGGAGACATGCTATGTGTGTGAGCGCGGATTTGCAAAGTGACCAACAAACAAAAATCAAACTGATGACAAAAATGTGGTACCAGTTTATGAAAACCGATGGAACAAACAAAAAAGAAAGAAGGACACACAACACCAGAAAGCAAAACGACAGACCACAAAAAAAACACAGCGCGTTTTCAACAGTGAGTAGGGACGGCGCAACTGCTTGTCCACGCAGGCGCGGCTCGCCGCGCTCTTGACACCGTTCACTTTCGCCCCATGGAGGCCTCGATCGCCTCCATTTCCGCTTGGTACAACACTGCAGATTATCGCCGCTTGACCACGGCGGGTTGGTCAAGCCGCGACGGCCTGTAGCATTGGACTTAGCGGTAAATGGAGGTGATCCAGGCCTCCATGGGACCAAAGTCAAAGTTGTCAAGAGCGCGGTGAGCCGCCGCCTGTGTAGACAGCTACATGACCCCCACTTTTTTCTTTATTTTTCTTTTTTGTTTGGGGGGGGGCGTCCAAACCTCGAGGATCTGCAATGGGCGGCGGATGTACGTAGAAAAAAACTCTTCCTAATCTCTTCCGACCTGTACGCTAATTCCACAACCGCGCGCGCGCTTCCCAAACCGCGAGGATCTGCAATGGGCGGCGCATGCATGCAAACAAAAAAACTATCTGTCTCTGTCTCTGTCTTTGTCTTTGTCTCCCTCTCTCTCTGTCTCTCTCCCTCGCTCCCTGTCTTTCTAAATTCCTTCCGATGTGCACGCCACTTTACATAACCACAGGCGCGCGTGTGTCGAACCTCGAGGATCTGCGAAGGGCCGCGGATGTACGGAAAAACAACGTCTCTCTATTGCAAATCCCTTCCGATCCGTACGCTAAAATCACCAACCAACCAACCACGCGCGCGCGCGCGCGCTTCCAAACCTGGAGGATCTGCCGCGCCTCCCTCGGCCTCCCCGTCTCCGCGAGGATCTTGACGGCCGTAAGCAGCGTGGCCGGTTTGAGCCCCTTCTTCGGGTTCCGGTTCTCCGGCACCGCCATGATCTCCTTCGCCCACTCCGCGTCCAGGAGACGGTGTGCCGTCGTCATGGCCAGCTCGTTCGCCCTTACCGTGTGCTGGCCCCCATCCTAGTTAGCAAAAAAGAAAAAAAAAACACGACGCAACAGGGGGGGGGGGGGGGGGGGGGCGTCCCCTGG